GCCCGGCGGGGCGCGGGGGGCGGCAGGGAGCGATGGGGGAGCCGCCGCCGCCCCCCGGCCCCGCACGGCCCCCCGGCCGCGGGGCATCTCGGTGGCCCGGCGGGGGATGCTGCCGCTCCCTCCGCCCCGCCGCGAAGCCCCCGGAGCCGCCCGAGCAGGTGGCGAACAGCCGGCGAGGTGGCAGACAGCCTTTCCTTCCACGCCGGGCGTCCCGGTGGGATTCTTGGCGTGCCCTACCCCGAAAAGTTCGGAGAGCCTTTGTGCGACACCGACCCGGCTTCTTGCTGGGGGAAGCCGCCGACCCCACCCCGGCAGCGGGGGCTGTCCCCAGGGCCGCGGGTCACCCCACGCTGCCTTCTCCGGCCGGGATAGCGGCGGCCACCCAAACCCAATGATTTCGGGAGCTGTTCCTTCGCCTCCACCTTGTTTTGCAGCAAGCTCTGCCTTTCCCCTTCTTTCAATAAATAATTACAAACCCACCAATATATTAAAGCCTGTCTTTTCACACGCTGAAGGTATTTACACTTTCATATATGCCAAGTCTGAGTGATTATTCTTTCTTTCCCCTAATGGCTGTGTCAGTGTCAGATTCCTATCAGAGTAAAATAATACATCCCAACCTCCCGCTGCTCTTTCTTTACCTCCAGGGATATTAATTACAGGGCAGGGTGCGGAGCCGGCAGGGAGGCGGCGGCAGGGCCGCACTATCTCCTGCCTCTCCCGAAGCCGGAGAGCAGCACCCGGCCACGGGCTGCGGCTTGGGAACACTTTTGTCTACGTGCCGGGAACACTTTTGTCTCCAAGCTCGCCGGGCTTGGAGAACCCCTCTGGGACACGGCTACAACCAGAAAAACCTCTCCTCGGCCTTCCCGCCTGCTCCCGCCGGCAAATCACTGCCAGCTCCATCGCCATCCGCTTCCTCCCAGGCAGAGGATGAGGAGCAGCGGCTCTGCCGGCTCTGAGCCGCCTCTGTGAGCGATGGCGAGAGCCGAGCTGCAGGGATGCGCCGATGGGGAGCGCGGTCTCCTCCCCTCGCCTTCCCTCCTGGGCTCCGCGCGGATGGTGAGCCCAAATCCCCCCGGCCGGTGGGCTGCCCGGCGGGAACGCCGCGCTCCGGTCAGCCTCGCTGCTGGAGGAACTGCATTTTTATTTCCCTTCCTCTCTGGTGGAGTCTCCTCCCCGGATCCCCATCTCCACAGCGCGGCCGGGGGAGGCTTGGGAGGTTTGGAAGCATCTTCCACTGCCCTCTGCCGACACAACGAGCAGCTAAATTTTAATTTCCACATCAGCAGAAAGCCTGCTCAGGTTCCCGGCCTGCTGGTTTTATTTTGTTAAGCCTCTGCAAGCTGACAGAGAAGGGGCCTGGGTTACCCTGGGTGGTGCACAGGGAAGCTGCCCCCCAAAATGTTAATTCTCCACAGCAGCAAAACAAGGCTGGATTAAAAACAGCAGTGAGTGAGAGAGGTGGGAGAGCCCTTTGCCATAGAAACCACCATGTTATGGAGACTTCTTCCCTCTGGAGCTGCAGAAGGCTCTCACAGACTGGGAAACAGGAGGTTAATACTCCTTGGACCTCGAGCCAGACACAAAACACAGGGAGCAACATCTTGCCTGGATGTTGGCTGCATGGTGCCTGGACAGAGCATTTTTTGGCCCAGGCATCACTGGGCTGGACTGGACCAGTGAGACTGAGGAGTAAAATAGCAAAAGGGGCTGAAAAAGTGAGGTTCAAATTCTGGGCTGGGTGAGATGATGGAGGTTTCATCAAGGAGGGAGATGCAGCCTGGGAAGCTCTGGGAAATCCAAGCAGGAACAGCTTTGCCTGCTGTAAGAACACGAAGCATCCCACCCAGAGGCTCTGCAGCTTCATAACCACAAGATGAAAGAAACACTAAGGAAAACCAGACAAAGCTGCTCTTCCCTGGTTGAACTCCATGCTAAAGCACCCTTCTGTGTCTGTCACACGGTTTCCCTCAAAGCCCTGAGCCTGCCAGCTTGGTGAGGGATGCAGTGGATGGCAGCAGCACCTCCAGGCTCTCCAGATCCACATCTGGCATCCCTGGAGAGCTGGCAGGGAGCACCTCATGTCACAGCTGACGAGCCCCCGGCCAGCCGGGCAAAGCGTGGCTGTCAGCAGCGTGTGCTTGGCTCCAAACCACGGTGCCAGAGCCCTGCCAGAGGGATTGGCTCCTGCTCAACGTGTGTGCCTGGTGGTGCAGAAGGGGAGGAAGAATGAAAATACCTGTGCAAACAGCTTGGGAAGTGCTGTGGGGGGACGTGGCCTTGGAGAACACAAATCCCCAGTGGCTTTGCAACCTGGCTTGGTTTTAGTGACAAGTGACTGCCTTAAGTTTCAGCTTTCATATCTTCCAGACTCTGTACTGCATTGGTGTATAACTCTGAGCTCCATATAGAGTGTCAGCAAGTTCTCCTTACAGCTCAGTCACACAAAACAATCCTTTCCCAGCCCCAGAACCAAGGACACCATTGCAGCTTCAGCCCCAAAAAGTGCAAACAGCAGGGAATGGAGGAGAGCAAACTGGGAGGATGGGACTGCATCACCTGGAGCTGGAATTGGACAACTAACCCTAAAATGGAAATGGACCAAAACTTATAAAAGTGTGAGAACTCATGACTTGGGTTCCATCTTGGGTGTAGCCTCGGCCAGGCTCTTGCATTGCCCAAGGTGAATCCTGTGAAGGCCTTTTAATAAATTCCTACTTTATTCCTTTAACTCCGTCCAGCCTGTTCTAGGCAGCCTCTCAAAGCATCAGGGACATGTAAGGTGTCCTGAGGACAAAACCTCACTGACAGCATCTGCTGCTGGGCCAAAAGCTCTGGGAAAACATCTCTAGTGGAGAGCAGCTCTCAGCAGAGACATTCACATGCTGGGCACAGCCCCTTGCTGTCATTAGCAATGCTCCTTTCTTTAGATTGGAGCTGTAGTTAAGACAGCTGCTGCATCTGGCCTGGCAGAGACACTGTCCCAGAGAAAAAAGGAGCTCAGGGGCAGCCTTAGGGACATGGCAGAACTCCCTCCCTGGCAGGGATACTGGAATGCAGAGTTTGGAGTCCAAGGCTTGTCCCAGGGAGAAGGCAGAGAGAGGACCAGCACACTGCAATGTCCTTCCTCTGCCTGACCTTCCCAATGTTTGGAATCAAAAATATCACAGGTGGCATTTTCCACCTTTTTGGCAAGATTGATTCTACCTAGCTTGGCTGAAAAATGAGGCAACTTGGAAGTGCTGGTGTGAGCAGTGGGTTTTCAGGGAGCCACGTGCCACCAAACCCCACATTTGGCTCCATTTTGGCAGTGGAAACCACAGCACTGTGTCCACTCAAGTGGCTCCAGGCTGGGTGGCGAACCTGGTGCTTCTCAGACTCTGCTGCCCTACCCGATTTTCATGCAGCTGAGCAAAACTACTGTTTCTGGCCCAAAGAGAGGAACAGGGTGGGTCTATGTTGTATTAAAGGGCTTCTGGAGCCACACAGCTGCCTGCTCACCTTCAACCATCCAGCTGCAGAGGTGCGGAGGGCATTTTCTGAGCGTGCCTCACTGGTTTTCCATATTTCCTTTGAAATAGGAGCTCCAAGGGCACGTTCCTGTGGGGAAGTGGAAGTTCCTGCCCAGCCCCACCAACCCTAACCACGAGGCAGCCGCCAGCGGCCGCCCCAGCTGTGCCACGTAACCCCACAGGACCTCGGCGCGAGGTGCCAGAGATGCTCTGCTGATGGCAAGAGCTCGAGCCGGCACACAAAGGAGGCAAAGATCCAGCTGTAAATTAATATTTTATAGAACACCAAGAAAAATCAGAGAGGCTAATTACAGCGATAATCATCTCGGCCCGGAGGCATTTCCATGGAAGTCAGGAATTACCCAGGATTACCTCAGCCCTCGCAGCAGCCCGCGCGGGAGGCGAGCGCGTGCGGCCGTGCCACGGCACCAAACCTCCTCCTGGGCCAGCTGGGGGTCCACGACCCCAAACAAAGAGCTTTGGCAGCCTCCTGGCATCGCACTCCAGCCGCACGGCCTTTGGCTTGCTGGGCTGGTTGGGGTGGATGGAGATGGAGGGGTGCTGGGGTTTTGGGGCTGGGTGCTCCCCTGGGCCCCGCTGGGCCTGTTTGTCTGCAGTGTCACTGACGTGGGAGCCACCGCTGGCACCAAGCTGCTCACACCTCTGAGGGGTTCAGGGAATCACTGGCAAAAAGTTTGTGGATGTGCCCCCAGGATAAGTTTTTCCTATGGTTCATTAATTTACTGTTATTAACTGATATTTGCATGGTTTATCCAGTGATGGAATGGATTCCCTTGGGAAAGGGTGAATTCCCCATCAGCTCCTCACTTTGGAGGGTGGGGGCACTGCCCAGCATGGCAAAAAGGTGGCTCATGGCAAGCCTGGAACACCTCTGGGAGCTGCAAGGTCAGGAGTTCTGCAGGCTCCTGTCCCACATAAAGGGACAAAGCCAGCCCAGACACCTCCAGGGGAGTAGAGAAGCCTTGGTGCAGCTGGTTTGTGCCCCTGAGCTCGAGCAGAGGACACTGCTGGTCTGACACCCAGAAAAAAACTCAGGTAAAACCCCACTGTGCTGTGCACAGAGCTGGGAAGAGCCCGGGCTGAGGCTGGCCCGGGCTGGGGGTGCTGAAGATGCTCAGATCTGTGGGTGCTGCTGTCTGCACCCTCCCCTTCCCCTGCCCTCACCCTCCCAGGCTGTGTGGGGCACCCTGGGCACGCTGCCTGTGCCCCCCACGCTCGGGTGTGTGTGTGCCTGAGAGCACCCAGGAATACAGCAGCTGGTCTGGGGGCTCCAGGGGCTGAGGCCTGGGCAGTCGTGCCACCCTTTGGGTTTGCTCCTGGCACTTGGAGGGTCTGTGACATGCTGAGCTGGTCCTGG